TTTTTTTTAATCTTTCTAGCTTACTACTCCCTGTAGTATTCTGATTTTTGTAATTCTTTATTTCCCCCTTCAAGCAACAAACTGAATTTAATTTTAACCTATTAAATAGAATATTTAAAAAAATGTTTATATGCTTCTCCTTTTTTTAGCAAAGGATATAAAACATAATATGTGATTAATTGTTTAAACTCTTCCCTAACTCTTGCTTCACAAAGCATTTGAGGTGACTGGGATACTGTACCTGATTTAACTGTCTCTTGACAACCCCTGATGATCATTCTGGGGCGATTTGCATAGAGGGCTGTTTACAATTCTTTGATCCCATAGGCACTGCCGCCTATTTTACTGTCCCTCACTCCCTTGTGTTCTCACCTCTCTCCTTATCCAGCTGAAACTCCCAGCTCCATTATATTCACTCCCTCAAAAATATACTCCACAGTTTTTCTTGCTTTGTAATACTTGTTTAACAAACCCCATCCCTCGTGGTCTTCAGTTTTCCACCAAATTTGTGCCTCCATCTTAGCATCTAACTGGATAAAAAACAACCGTACTAGCTACTGTAGTCAGGGCTCAAGTGGGCCCCATCGATCTCCAGAAATCACCTTACATTGCTCCAGTCTGTTCACTTTTCCATTCTCGTAGATGCTGATTTCATACCTTCTCTTCGCTGCTCAAATCTCCACCACCCGCCTCCCCATCCTCACTGTTACCTGGATGACTGCACCCCATCTCACTGATAGAAGCAGTAACAGAATTTCCACAATCCCCACCCCTCCGTTTGTCCATACATTTCCTTCTTGCCTCTTAGCACAGGTAAACTGGCCGGGCTCCTAGCTCAGGCCACCCTCCTTGTGCACCAGAAGCCTTTCCCTCTTGCCTGCTGGAGAACATTGTTCCAGAAATTCTCCGGCTTTTCCTCTACAGCATCAGATTCTCCTTTCTGCAGGATTATTGCCATCCATATACAAACACGCTGTCATTTCTCCCATCTTAAAAACAAGCCTTTACTCTATTTCCCTCTCCGTCACTGGCTCCCTTTACAACAGAACTCCTTGTTGTTTCCAGCTCTCCTTTCCTGAACTGCATCCCTTCAGGTTTTCACTCCCACCACTCCAATGAAACAGCTCTTGTCACAGTCACCTCCTCAACTTACCAGCCTCTGAACTTGGAGGGTCCCAAGCACCTGGAACTCTGCTCTTCGTGCCCTCGCTCCCTGCAATGTCATCCAGTCTCCTGGCTTTAAATACCAACTATATGTCAGTAACTCCCACATTCGTCTCCAGTCTCACTTACCTGCTTACTTGACATCTGTGCTTGGATTTCTAACAGGCTCTTCGGACTTCACTTGTCCAAAACCGAGCTCCTGATCTTCTAGGCCTTCTCCTATTATCTTCTCCATTTATAGTAAACGGCAACTCTGCCCTTCTGGCCCCCAATCTGGGCTTTTCTTTCTTTTACACCCCACTTCTTATCTGTCAGCAAATCCTGCTCTACCTTCAAAATACATCAAAACTTCAGCTACTTCCCACCACCTCTAGTGGTGTCACCCAGGTCCAGTCCACCATCATTTCTCACCTGGATGATTGTAGCAGCCTCCTAACGGGTCTCCCTGCTTTTCACACTTGCTCCCCTCCCGGAGTGATCCTTTCAACACATACGCTCGATTACTTCAGATTGTGTGTGTGACCTACTATGCTCAAGACCCTGCCACGCTCACACAGAAGCCAGCCTTAAGTCTCTGCAGTGATTACCACTCCCCCATCCTTGTACACCCTTAACCCTCTGCCCTCTGCCCTCCTTCCGTTCTGCCCCTCAGTCACTCCACGCTGGCTCCGTGGCCTCTTCTCTGTTCCTTAGACAGATGTGCCAAGCACACTCCAGCTGCCAACGTTTGTACTTAGTCTCTGCCTGGAGTCCTCTTTTCCAGCCAGCCACAGGGCTCCCTCACCTCTTTCGGGTCTTTCCTCAAACGTCCCCTTCCCGGGGAGGCCTTCCCTGACCTCTTTTAAATGGCAGCCCCACTCCCAGCCCACCTGCAGCATTCCTTGTCCCCCTTCCCTGCTAGCCTTCTCTATGTGGCCCTTATCACCATTGCACATGCCGTGTGCTTGACTTGTGTGTGTATGTCTGTGTCTCCTCTAGTCTGTAAACATCTGTGGCTTTTTCAAACGGAAACTCATAGCTTTCATTTTAGGTATATTTTCTTGAGTTATTGAGGATTTGTTGCCCTCCGCTTTTGCTGTTTTTTCTTTCTAGACCAGACTAGACCAGTTGCTGTCCAATCAACTCTGACTCATGGTGACCCCACGTGTGTCAGAGTAGAACTGTGCTGCATAGGATTTTCTATGGCTGATTTTTAGGAAGTAGGTCGCCAGACCTTTCTTCTGAGGCACCTCTGGGTGGGCTCGAGCCTCCAACATTTCGGTTAGCAACTGAGCCCATTAACCATTTGCACCACCTAGGGGGTTCTGTTCTCTTTCTAGACTTCTTGTTTTTTAGATGATGGACAGCTAGGACTTATCCTCTTATTTATCCTTTTTCCTCTCTTTTCATCTCTTTCTGTGAGATTTCTGCAGCTTTATCTTCCAACCTTCAGTTGAGTTTTTCATACCTTCTATCATTTTTAAAATTTCAGAGACGTTCTGGCTTGGTTTTGGGGTTGCAACATCACCTCTTAATTATTCGAGGATATTATTATTATTAAGTTTTCTTCCTCCTGCAGGCTCTGTTTCCTCCAAGTTGCATTGTTCTTGCTTGTTTGGTCTCCGTCTTTTGTGCCGGGGGTTTTCCTCAGGTGTCTGGTGATCCCTGGGTGTCTGATCGTAGCCACGAGCGGGGCATTAACCAGCTGCCTGGAACCTGTGGATGTGCTTGTCAATGTGGGGTTCACTGGGGCGTGAATTAGGTGGACCATTGGGGGGCCCCTGGTGTCAATGTCTTTAACTCTTTCTCTTCGGACTGGTCAGATTCCCCAGAGAAGGATCATCTGATCTTCTTCCTGCAGGGTGCTAGCCTGGCTGAAGGAAGTGGCCAGGGAACCAGAGGGAGAAGGGCTGGGGGAGGGAGGGAGGTGTCAGCATGTGGCCTACAGACGTTCATTCAAGCCCCCTTGTCCTCAGTTGTGACTGATGTTCCCCATTCCACAGACCCTCGGTTTACCCTTCTGCCACGTGGGCGTGGAGAAAGTCTGAAAACGACCCTCAAATGAGAAGGGGAAGTGGGGAATCCAACTCCTTTCAACCAGTCTTTGTCAGCCGTACCTTCACCCATTTCCAGTGGCCCACAGCGCTGTGAGTTTGGAGCTTCTTCGGTGTAACTTGGTTGCTTCTGGGCCTTCCCCACTTCTGGTTGAGGGTTTGTTTTTCTCAGGTCTGCTGAGTCACTTTCTACATGTCAGCCTTTCTGCCTTTCATGTTTCCACTCCTGTTCTCTTTTTCTTTGTGAGTTCAGGCCTTTTGAAAAACTTTTCATCCAACTGCTCTTGTTCTAGTAGGGTTTCCAGCATGTACGTTCAGCCTGCCGTCTTTACCTGAAGGTCCCCACTGAGATTTCATGACCATTTCAATAATAAACAATCATTCGGGTCAGTTAGTTAACATGAGAGAGAGCTGGCTCTTGGTGTCACTTAGAACGGTGTGCCATCCTTCATCTGACATCTCGGAAGTCTGATGGGGATAATGCGTCATCACAACAGGGAGCTATGACACGGAACGGTTGCGAGCACGGAGCCTGTTACATCCCCAGTTACCCACACAGGAGCCCTCATGTGAGTAAACCAGCCTGTGGGTCTGATGCATGTGTAAGTTGTCCGTCTGCATCAGTGCTGTCTGTCTTGTCTTGAATTGTAAGTCTCTGGAGCCAAGGCAGGCCTAGAAGTGCTGTTGTCGACAAAAGAAGATGCCTATGAGGTGTTAAGGTGATCTGTGCTTCATCATCACTGTTGATGGGGCCCAGAAGAACAGTGTTTTCTTCCTGTGCTTTAAAGGCTGAGTGGGTCGGAAAGTCAGACCCACTTGAGCTTGAATTGTGCAATACTTAATGATGCTATTCATGGTTCCCATTGTTGGACTCTCTATATTAGGGAAACTTTAATACCAGCGGTATTGTATTCAGTGTGTTTTTGACAATTTTTGATGATTTAATTGAACAAACATTTACTGAGAAGTACCAACTATCTGTTAGGAGCTTATGTACAGTCAGAAATGGTATGAAACGTGGTACCTCCATCATGAAAATCTTATTTTTAAAAAATGTCAAGTCTTTCCCTTCTTATTCTCTTAGTCTTGTACTACTGGGATTTCTGGGGAAAAGACACACACACACACACACACACACACACACACACACACACACACACACACACACACACACACACACCAGGCAGCATGTTTTCTGTCCAGTGGGGTCTCAAAAAAGGTTGTGTTCTTATGTTAGCCCATTTTCAATCTTATGAACAATGGTGAGTGGTGTGTATTGTTTTAACTTTCATTTCTTCCAATTCCCTAGTCACACAGGAGCTTTGGTTTTGATATGTTTTTAATCATTTAGATTCTGTATGAAATTACAGAGTAAAAGCATTGCATTAATATTTCATGACCGTAAATTAAATTGCATTAATGCTGCATTTTAAAACTATATTATTGTTGTACAAATCAATGTATAAATTGTCATTTTTTTATTTTTAATTTCATCTTGAAGTTGGTCGGGAGTTCGAATCCACCAGCCTCTCCTTGAAACCCTATGGGGCAGTTCTCTCTCCTGTAGGGTCTCTATGAGTCAGAATCGACTTGATGGCAACGGGTTTTTTTTTTTAAAACTTGGCAGAAGTTTGCTTGAGCACATTCAACAAAGGCAGGGATGTGCTTGAAATAAACAATACCCCAAACCTTAACACACAGGTTAAGGGTCGTGCTCTGGGGTCAGACAGGCCTGAGATTGTACCAGACTCATCCTCTAGCTAATGGTGTGACCCTGGCTAAGTGACTTAATTCCCATAAGCCTGAATTTCCTACCTGGTAAAATGGGGTGATTAACGGTATCCACTTCAAAGAGCTGTAAGGATTAAATGAGATGAGGTATGTAAAAGCTTTTGGCACGGTGCCAGGCACACAGTAAGCACTCCTTAAATATTAGCTATGATTAAGAATGTTACTATTAATATGTAGCATGCTTCACTTTATTCATATTGCTTAGATACTATTCCTATTTCTTCGAAAGTGTTGATGAGCTCACTTGTAGTAGCTACCTAATTTATTCTTAAGCATTATTATTTCTAAGTTTTTTTCCCCCCGATAATTTTAACTAACCCATAACGCTTTATGCTGGTGTAATGCTAGGGTATAAACCTCTCCTGGGCTGTTGCTGCCTTTGGCAGACCTCAGTTTAGCCGGGTCTTGGCGCTCCAGGGTTTGGCGTTTGAGGTGCACTGTGAGCAAAGGGTCTAGGGTTATTCTCTGAAGAGTGAAGTGGTTGGAGGCCCAGCCGCTCACCGGATCAGGGGGAGGAGGTCCAGGTAGGCTGTCCTCGCCACGTCTGCTTGGGCCCCAGGAAGGAAGCCGTTGTGGAGAAAGTCGCCCGCATTGGTCAGGATGCCGTGTAAGGCGTAGAGGTCACAGAGCCATGTGAGTGCCTGCTGGATCGCCGGCTCGTTTTCCAGTTCCTCCAGAGCGTGTGTAAAACTCTTCACAGTGATGTAGTAGCAGTGTGCCTACACAGACACAAAG